GTATCCTTTTATTATCCCTTTATTGATTCCAGGACCTACAGTGATATCCTTAAAAAAAAAGACACTGCTTACTTTGCCTTCTCATTTTTTTCCCTTTGACTAATCTCACCAAAGGTTTATTTTTATTATTTTTTCAATGAGCAGAATTCTGTCTTTGTTGAATCTTTTGAGTCATGCTTATTTTCCATTTCCTTAATTTTACTCCTACTCATTATTTCCTTCCTTAGCTTTCCTTTGGGTTTATTTTGGTGATTTTTTTCTAACTTCATGAAATAGGTGATTTGTTCATTGTCTTTAGATTTTTCCTCTTTTCTTTTAAATATTGTTTTGTCTGTATCCCACACATCTGACATATAATTTCATTATCACTCAGTGCAACTGTTTTCTAATTTCCATATACTTCCTTCTTTGACCGTAAGTTATCGAGAAGTATATTTCCTAATTTCCAAACATATGGTAACTTTCTTGTTATTGTTCTGGCATAATTGCATTATGATCAGAAAAATTTGACTGTATGAGCTCAGTCTTTCCAAAAGTTTTGAAGACTGTTTCACTTGTCCTTTAAAAGCCTGATTATTCTGAGGTGTTAGGGCAAAGCGCTTTCTGTGTTATTCACATTGTTCAAATTATCTAGATCATTTCTAATTTTTGCTTCAATTACTGGAATTAAGTGTGATAAAATTCCCCATGAGGCTAGGGGTTGGCCTATTTATTTTGTAGTTTTGAGCACTTTGCAAAATAGATATTTGAAGCCATGTTGTTAAACGCACAGAAATTTAGAATTATTGTATCATCCTATTGAACTAAAAGATTAATCATTTGCAGTGTCCTTGTTTAACTCTACTAATGCTTTATACCTTAAAGTTTATTTAGTCTTTGTTAACACAGTCCCAGGAGCATTCTTTTGGTACTGTTTGCATTGAATGTCTTAATTCCTTCTTTTACTTTCACACTTCTGTGTCCTTATGTTTTAAGCATGTCTTTTGTAAAGGACAGTTTGTTGTTTGTTTTAAATCCAGCCTGACAATCTTTGATTATTAACTGGAGCATTTAATCTGCTTACATTTATTACAGTTACTAACATATTTGGATAAAAATAACCCTGCCATCTTCCTCTGCACTATTTGTCCCAGCTCTTCATATTCCCCTTTCTTTCTTTTCTTGCCTTCCTTCAGGCTGCTTGAGCCATTTTATCATTCCGTTTTCCTTCTCTTTTAGTTTAGAAGCTACATACTTCTTCGATTCTATTATCTTACAACATGCCTTCTGGAAATGACGACATACATTCTGGGTGTATCTATGGCTAATGGTAATCTATATTCTACTCTCATTCCACGTAATTCAAGGACTTTTAATCAATTTCACTACATTTAGTTTTCTCTAGACATATGCTCTTGTGTGTAGAAATGGTAATACTGAGTCACACCTCCTGGGAACCTCTTAGAGGGTCCCTGAGCAGTCTGAAAACCATGAGACTACACAAGCCAAGGCGCTGTCCACGTTAACATTTTACAAGCATGGAGCTGCACTTTTAAAATGTTAACCAGACCAGCCCTGTTGTGGATAATGCATTTTTAAAAATGCAATTGCAGAGCAATGAGGCATGGGTTTTTCATGATTCCCAAGGCAAGGAGGTTGGCGCCTAAATGGGGCTATCTCCTTTTAATCAAATGCAATTGAAAAGCAGTAGGGAACACAGGGAGATCTGCATATCAAATGAGATATATTCAGATGATGATAAAAGAACTGCAGTTGCCAGCAGGTCTGTAGCTCACCTAAGATGATTCTAGAAGTACCTAATCACTTTACTTCGTGCTATAAGTGTTTTTGTTTTTCTGTTTCCTCTGCAGACCCAGACTTGTAGCCCCTTTCCATACTGTGCGTGCAGAGGAAAAAGCAAAGTTTTCTGTGGATGTGTGTCCAAAGTTGTCAAAATGAAGGGAGGAAGAAAGTTTAAGCTGCATGTTTGTTTGCTTTAAAAGGGGAGACAAACCAAAAAAAAAAGGGAGGGGAGGGGAGACAAACCATATGAGACTCTTGACACCGAGAAACAAACTGAGGGTTTTGGAAAGGGAGGTGAGTGGGGGGATGGGGCAACCAGGTGATGGGCACTAAGGAGGGCACGTGATGTGAGGAGCACTGGGTGTTATACGCAACTAATGAATCATTGAACACTATATCAAAAACTAAAGATGTACTATATGGTGGCTAATTGAATTTAAATTAAACAAATAAAATAAAAGGGATACTTTTTTTCTCATGATTGATTTCAAATTAAAGCCATTAAAAAGGTGTTGCCACTTTCCAGAAAAAAAATGGTGGGGCATGTTGCTTGGTGAAATTAAACTTCAATTAAATTATGCTTCACACAAGCCCTGAAAGCAGAGAAGTTTTTACCATTCATGTTTAATTTGGTTCAGTGAAGTGGACACACTTATTTCTATAGCATGGCTAAATATATTAAGCACACCTACTCTTGTTATCCTAAATTTTCACCCGTGCCCGAAGCTATGAGATAATGTAACCACAGACCTCTGTGACACCTCGGTGTAGGCAGTAAGCATCTTTATTTGGCATAGCGCCTTGCTGACTTCCCTGACCCCACTTGGGTGTCCACGGCCACCCACAGTGACATCACAGTACTAAGCTTCTCATTTTCTCCAGGAGCTCGAACTGTATTTCTCGATTGAGAAATGTTTCTCTGACTTCATACTGATAGATGGGGAAGCTATAAAGGGCAAATGACTCAGTGTTAAGTCACGAAGTCATTGGTCCCCTGGGGAAAGAATTTCAGAAGGTCTGACTCTCTTGGTGTCATTTAAACCATTCTGGTCTCAGCACTGTATCTAGAAAGAACCTGCAAGATCCTCTGCTCCAGCCTTATTCTGTTCCCATCTTTTAGATGAGACGATGGAAGCCCAAAGACATTAAATGGTTTTTCCCAAGGTCAGAAGACTAGTAACTACCAGTGTTCCCATAATGTTTAAATCGGATTTCCCCAAGCTTAGCAGATACGTGGGAGATGAGGATTCCAGAATCCACACCAGTACAAAGCAAGCTTCATTTTAGCGGCACCTTCTCCTATAGCAACCTGAGCTGTTATCTCACTGATGTCCGGTCTTCTTCGGGAATGAGAGACACAGCATTAGAGCAAACTACAAAATCGCATTCTCAGTTTCTAAAAGAACACAAAGCCCCTCACTCCACTCTCTCCTTCACTGTCAGACTCTACTGATGGATGAGGTAGGCATGTAATGTCTCTCGCAGACCAGAACTTGACAGAGATTGAAAGCATCTGTCAGGAGAACCCAGGCCCCTGTTTTGCCACCCAGGACACCTGCCAGATTTTGCTCTGTTAATTGGCTTCCATGCAGGCAGCTATTTTAGCAACGATTCTGTGTGGGTCTTCGGTGGCACATCCTGATTTAAAGTGAAACGTTGAAAAGTACTTCTCGACCACTCAAACCGTCTGGGGTTGCTCACATTTAGCTGGCTGGACAGAAAGGGAGGCAGCCTTCAAAACTATTGTGTTGACATAAAACTAGATTATTCAGTCTCCTCAATTCAGAGAATAATTCTGAGAGAGATGGTGACTGAGGAGTCTGATTTCTGCCTAAGGACAGAAGGAATTGATAAGAGAGTTTGTGGAAAAAATGCCACTGTGACCTTAAACATGCAGTTTCTGGGTTGACACCATAATAAGGAATGGAGTGCTATTAAAATATACTGCACATTTTAATGACTCCACTAGCACGGTAGGCCAAAAAAAAAAAAAAAGACTTAAGCTCAGAATAATTCTGGGAAGGAGGATTTTGCCAAGGAGATTTTAATGTCAAGAATGTATGTGAGGCTAAAAATAAGGAGCTCACGCACATTCCAGAGCCGTGGGTGGGGATGTATATATAATCAAATTAAATTATGCCATTTCCACTTATGAAAAAATCTGATGGCAAAAATTGACTAGAAAACATTTAGTCATATTTCACTTGGATTAGGCTTATAAATACCAAACTCCAGACTTGTCAAAATAAACCCCACCATCACTTTCTGGACGAGGTGTTAGATAGACAATGGCTGCAACGTGCAAAACCGATAGAGAGCTTACGGGAACATCGTGCCTGGAAAAGCCACAGGGACTCAGCTTTCAACTAAAGAGAGGGTTCAGAGAGGTCAGAGCGGAAGAGGTGACTCTGCACGGTGAGGACTGGAGCGCAGAGTGGCCCAAATGTGGAAAGCCAAGGAAGGGGCTGTCGGGGAGCCAAAGACATGTGAAACCCAGGTCCCAACTCTCAGAGACTGGAGGTCTGGTGCCCATGACTTTTAATATTATTATTTTTTCCCTTCGGAGAAAGTGCCCCTCAATTTTAACCTTCCTCTAGAGGGCCAGCATTGGGTTCTTTTGACAAATCATTGATTGATACAACAGGACTGTAAGGTTAGTTGCTGCCAACACACCCAACTGCAAACTGAGGCTATGCGCAGAGGAGACCCAACATACCTGTGCCTGGAAATGAATTTGTTGCCATTTCAAGGACAAATATCTTCTTGGCTACAACTGCTGAACTGCCAATCCAAAAATGGGGGGGGGGAAATCTAGGCTTCAACAAGTCTTTATTTACGTCTTAAGTTGTAATTAGAAGACTCCTGTAGTACAGCTGTACTTCTTTAGTCCCCTCTGCTTGCCCAAGCCTGGACCTTGGGCCAGAGATGCCTCTGTCCATTGGGTTCTGGTGTTGACCAGTGGGAAGGAGGGCTGGGAATCACGGGGAAAGAGGGAGCATCTTTCCTGGACGGCATGGATAGTTGGTGACCTCACATTGGCCAGTGCTTGCTGATGCAGGCGACACACACTCCTTAGGATGCTTGCCTTGTGCATCTCCCAAGTGATGGAAGGAACAGGATAGAGAAGTCAGCCCAAGCTCCATGCACACACCCAGGTTGGTGACAGGGATCCAGAATTGCTGATGGGGCTCAGCCTAGCAATCCTACTGCCCCAGAGTCTAGACAAGTTCTGGCTTGGATAGAACCTGCATCTCGCGCCTCTGAGTTCTCTCCTGGAATGTCATTCTGGAATCCCGTGATGTTCGCTCCCTAGAGAAAGAATAAATCAGGGAGGGAAAAATAATTCGACCTGATGGAAAGGGAAGTAAGGATGTTAAACAGTAATAGTTATGGAGGATGTATGGAGGATCAAACACTGTTGTAAGCACTTTGCATGTGATACCGCCCCCCACCCTCCCTCCCCCCCGCCCCCACACGCACCTTCCTTCCCCACCCCTCACAGCCCTCCTTCCCAATGGTCAGTACCAGAGCCTGGGTAGGCGCTGCTACTAGCCCCATTTTATAGGCAAGGACACTGAGTTTTATGGAAGTTAAATAACTTGCTCAAGGTAAACACATAGCTATGAATCAGCAATGGTAGGATTTGAACCTTAGCCACGGGCATCAAACTCCAGCCTTAAACCATTTTACTATTCTATCTCCTATGGATCTCTTTACCTACTCTCCGTAGCTTATGCAGTAAGCCGCAAAAGAGCAAAAATGAGTAGTTGTGGGAGGGATCTAATTTCAGCGTTGGTACTTATTTTTCATATAACCTCAGTAGTGTCACTTACCTTCACGAGCCTTCCTCTGTTTATCTATCACACAGTCATCATGCTTTGGGTGCTGCTATCCCCACAGCATCATATTGAGGAAATTCACGTTGGGAAGCTTTGAACAAAAGAAAGTTCTTCTATGCATGACCTGATTAAGATGGTTGCTATTGCAGGTGAGGTGGTGGTAGAGGAGAAAGAGCATAGACCGTGACCTGGACCTGGGTTTGAATTTGTCACACAAGCGAACCTTTATGACCCTCAAGCATCTCAACTATTACCTGAAAAGACACATGTTGGAGTCAAGTACAGTGGCTATCTGCACTGGCCCAGGCAGGAGTGCCCCTTACCTGCAGGGAAAGCAGATGGAGCTGCTGAAGACATAGTAGATGAGAGGGTTGATGGCGCTATTCAAGGCTGGCAGGTTCTGAATGATCACAGAGGCGTAGAAGCGTTCCTTGGTATCCGGAAGAAGACTGAAATTGTCCAATATGTCGAAGAAGAAGTATGGACTCCAACAGCAGATGAAGGCTGGGGAGAAGAGAGCCGTTAGCACTGTAGCAGACACAGCTGGGGGGCTTTCAGTGGTGACCCCAAGTCGAGCTCCAAATAGGAGGTTCCTTAGCACCTGAGATCTCTCAGAAATATTTAGAACATTGTGTGTTAACGTTAATGTCATGTTTACTCACACACACGCACATATACACGCATACGTACACAGCCCACAGGTATGTTGCTAGAGTTGAGTGAATTTGTAAAGGGAGGGTTCGATTTGACCCCTGTTGTGAGTCCTACTGGAAAGGTTGGGAACTGCTCGGCGTGGCCTCAGCTTCTCATCCCACCTAGTGTGGAAGGAAAACCAGCAAAACTCTTTGAGGACTCCATGAGAAAAAAACAAAACAAAACAAAAGAACAGGAAGCATTTTTGACCGATAGTGACTCCTGGTTTTAGGGTGTGACAGGGGGAAAAGGTGGTGCCTAATGTTTTCAAAGCACAATCTGGCTTCATCACAATGTTCTTAATTTTCTTTTCCATTTCTAAGTCAGCCACTCCAGAAAATAGCTGCCCTCTACCCCTCTCCAAGTCAGTCTGTGTGTGAGCCCCTGATTCTGCTTGTCTCCAAATCCTCAGAGGAAATGGGTGGTATGTGGGGAGATCCAGAGTATGATAGTGAATTTTATGGGTCACCTTGACTGGGTCAGGGGTGCCCAGATATTTGGTGAAACATTATTTCTGGGTGTTTCTGGATGAGATGAACATTTGAATTGGTAGCCTAAGAAAAACAGACCATCCTCTTCAATGTGGGTGACCCCCTTCAATCCCTGGAAGGCTTGAATAGAACAAAAAGCTGAGTGAGAGAGGATTCATGCTGTCTGCCTGACTACCTTTTAGCTGGGACATCGTTCCTCTCCTGCCTTCCTTCACCCTCAGACTCAGACTGGAACTACACCATCGGCTCCCCTAGGTCTGCGGAACCTGGGGCTTCTCAGCTCCATAATCACGTGAGCCAATTCTTCTAATAATTCCCTTTACATACATGTATATCTCTTCTTTCTCTGGAGAACTGGACTAGGACCCACACGCACCGAGGTCAACAGCCTTGGGGCTGACTAGACACGGACGTGTCATCTTCCGCTTTCTTGCTACATCCTCTCCACCCTCCCTCTCCCCTTTCTCACCCATAGGACTTTTCCTCAGAGAAGTCAGGGTTCCTTTGCCATCTGCTTGCAGGGGCCAACTTTCCCCTGTAACTGTTTGACCGGTGTGTGTTTATTCCCCAGGCCTTGGCAATGGACTAAAGAGGAGCAACTGAAACACAAAGACCACTGAGCATTCTAGGCACTGGCGGTTAGGCCTAGCGTTGGCCTAGAATAGTGGTTCTGGGCCATGAAGGGGCAAAATTGCCTTTTGGTTGCATTTTGAAAAAAATGTGCATGTTTATGTATGTGCGTGCGTGGGGTTGGGGGCGGATCTGGTTTGCCCGGGGATACTAGTCCTTCCGTGTGGGGCAGGCTGTTCCACCCATGTCCCGTACATCCTTTGACTGTCCAAGTGAGCATTTTTGTAGCAGAGAACTCTGTTTATAATTACTCCAGTCTGGAAACCTAACTCTATTCTGTATATGAACACAAATATTTTTAAGAAATAGTGAATTTTCCAGAAAGGCAATTCCTTTGCAAAGGGAGGAAAGATTACTTTTTCTAATTTGGAAAACTTTAGCAGGATTTATTTACCTGCTCAGAAAATCAAGTCCCTGACAGCAATGCTGCTTTATTTTCATATCTTCATGAAAACACACCTGTACTGATTTTCCTTTGTAGCTATTACTACATCTAGCTGCCTACTTCATTATTCTTCTAGTGTAGCTGTGGCCAAGTATTTACATATTGAAATCTGCTCTGTTTTATTATACATTATTTTCTCTCTAGTCCTCCTTTATGTTCTTACATATTGATCTTTTAAGACCTGTTAGGTAGATAGTATTAATTACACATTTCATTTCAGGATGGTAAAGGGGCATTCCAAGATATCTGTTATAGGAAGGGCTGGTTTGGTCTGACTGGGCTGTTAACACTGGCTGACCCTCTTGGGGCGCCTCTCTGCTCTTCGACTAAAGGACCCTCAGGGTCTGAGCAGATGGTTCCTGATTACAAATAATTATGTTGGCTCTGGACCACATGCATAACATTTATCTTCTGACTCAACATCCAGGGGATGTGTATCTCTATTTCTGACCGTCTGCAAAGGCAAGAGAATCTTTGTGCTACTTGGTCAGCTGTTGGGAAAGGACTGTGAGCCCCAGTGGTTGTATCTGCTTTAGCCCCAGCTCTGCCTGCATTGTTGCTTTGCGCTTCTGTCCTGCTGGCTGAGGCCCTCTGCGCCTGGTCTGTTTGGCATTTTGCAATGGCGTCTCAGAAAAGGTGAGATTGATTATTTCTGTGATCTGATACGCAGCTAAGACAAAAGGCCTGCTTTCTTAGGCCTCCCAGGAGCTGCCAGAGGGGTAGGGAAGGGAGTATTTGAGCTACATAAAAAGAAAATCGCACAAATCCCTTTCCTTCTTGCATATGCTAATTCATTTGTTCCCAGCAAATATTAATGAAGCACCTAGTGCATGTGGGATCCTATTTCAGGCTTTGGCGATAATAGTATAAGGAACACAAAAGCAAAAGTCATTGCTCTCATGGATTTAAACCAGTGCGGGGGGGACGGACAATAAGCAGATCAACAGATAAAATGTTCAGGTAGAAGTGGGAGTAGGAAGAAAAATACGGCCAAGTAAAGACTAGAGGAGGGCTATTTAAGACTTGTGAAGGAGGCCTGGCTGAAGAGGGAGCACTGCTGGGAAACAAAATGATGTGAGGAGGGAGCCAGGCCATCTGGAGCAGAGTATTGCAGGTGGTGGAAACAGCACGGGGTCCCCCAGGTGCAAACAAGTGGACATTTTGACGAACTAGCAAGAAGACCAATGCAACTGGGATAGAATGAGCAAGGAGGAGAGTGCTGGGAGTGAGGCTGGAGACCTGGCCGAGGGATAGATCACACATGGTAGAACTGTAGGGTTTTATTCCAATGTAATGGGAAGCCAGAGGTGGGTTTGCAGGATAGTGATGATACCTGATTTACAATCTTGAAAGATCACATTGGCTGTTTTGTAGAAAAGGAATAAAGAGAAGACCAATTATAATGTTCTAGGCAGAAATTTGTAGAAGCTTTGACTAAGACAGGAGTTGTATAGATAGCGAGGACTGGTTGGGTTTGAGAGCTATTTTGCAGGTAGAGCCTTCAGGCCTTGCTGATGCACTAGTCATGTGGGATGTCTGAGAAATAGAATAACAACAGATAGATGACCCTTAGGTTTTTGATAGAGACACTGGGTGAAAGATGGTGTCATTTACTGAAATAGGGACAATTGGGGGAAGAGTTACTTTGTGTGGGGGAAGAGAATATGCCAAGACTTTCAGTTTGACATGTTGACTATGATAAGCTTATCAGAAATACAAATCAAGATCTCAAGTAGAAATCATAAATAGAATTTCTAAGCAAAGGAAGTGTTCTTAAAAAGAGAAACTGATTACATGTTGCTTAAAAGTCAAGATGAAGATTGAGAATTGACACTGACCTTTTAGAGGTTGTGATGACCTTGAAGAAAGTGGTTACAGGAGTGACAGGAGAGAAAGCGGTTGGAAACAGGCTCCAGAGAATGAGAGGTAAAACATGGAGGAGTTGTGTTAGAAGAGAGTGGTGAAGTGGGTCTGTACTGAGGAGTTCACCAAGGGGCCTCCTGCACAATATTTACATGCATACGATCCAGTTAAGGGGAGACCTGTTGGGGAGGGGAGATAATGAGAGGGCTGAAATTCTTGAGGAGGCAGCACGGAATGGGATTCGGGGCTCCAGCAACCATTCTGGGCTTAGACAGAAGCAGTGCCAGTTGATCCACCGGAACAGGAGAAAAGACAGAGCACATTGTAGAAAGGCAGATAGGTCGATGGATACGAAGCTGGGAGGATGAGGGAGTTCTAGTCTGATATTGTGTTTTCTTAGTGAAATATGAAGCAAAGTTATTAGCTAAGAGGGAGTTAAGGGGAAGGAAGCTTCGAAGGTTTGAGAAAAGCAAAGAATACACACCAATCTGACACATATTATGTGCTCTAGAAATATCGTTTTTTTCCTAAGATGAAGCGATGTTACGGGTCTTAGGAGTAGAGAGAAAGGGGAGAAGGTCAAGTAGCCATTAGGGAGGGATTTGTAGTGACCCTGCGATTAAATATCCAGAAGAAATGGAATGCCACTTCTGTCTTTCTTTGCTCATAAACTTCAGCCCTAGGGGAGAGTATGTCTCAGAGAATGCAACAGGGTCAACTAGGTAATTGTGAGCATCATTCAGCTAATTATGACTTAATCAACTTTCTCCAAATTATCCACACCCCATGGTCTTGGTGGGCAACTATAGTCCTAAAGGGAAGGATTGGGAACCACCGGGCTGCCCTTGAAGGAGACACAGGTGGATGGATAAATTCCACACATTCCTCCCCAGTCAGACAAAGGTAGAGTGCCTGCAGACAAATTCCTTTCTTGTGTGGGCTCTCCACCACCAGCTCCTGGGACAAGCTTGCTTTTGGAATGTTCACACAGTTCTGCAACACAAGGAGGGACGTCGCTTACCCAGAATGATGACAATGCTATACTTGACGGCTTTGATTTTTGCCTTTGAGATGAGCCCTCGGTGGTAACTGGTGCACAGCTTTCCATCTGGAGATACAGAAGGGGGAATGGTGAAATGGAGTGGTGTTTTTGCCAATAGGAACAACACAGATTAGATCCACAGCTATCATGGGACCACTTAGATCCTGCTCACCTCTGCCTGGGAGGACCTCCTTCAGTATTTTCAGAGTAAAGATGGCTTTGGGCTGGATGCTAGAAACTGCTCAGTTTGCAGCTTAATATAAAATGCAAATGCATTGGGACATCCAGACTCTCTCCAGAGTCTTGGCTGAATGCCCTGAACCAGCCAAAGCTGGAATTAGCCTTGTGACCTGGAATTAGCCAGGGGGCAATGCTGAGCTACCCATCCAGTCACTTCAGGAACTTAGGGCAAAGCCATTTTCTTAAAATCGTTATGCCAGACTAACTCGTTCATCTAACTCAGAAGATCCACTCTCAACAACAGCTCAAGCCAGGGATATGAAAAACAAAACAAAACAAAACAACCTGTCCCAAGTAGGAGCCTGGATATATAATCTAATTCTACGTAGGCTGTTGTTTGATGGTAAACACACGAGGGGTACATATACGAATCTATTAGAGTATAAGCTTGATGGAGGCAGGGACTTTGTTTTCTTCACTGCTGTATCCTCTAAACTTAGTGAGTGATTAATATATATTTGTTGAATCAATGAATACAAACCGCTCTCTAGTTAAGAAGTAGTGGTAAAATAAAAGTTGATTAGGGTGGACAGAATTCAGAGTGATAGCTCTTAGTAAAAGGAGTGTGTAGATGGTACATTTGGGAATGGAGATGTTGGACGCAGGGTCCCTTGCCACTGCGGAAGAGTTTTTTCACTGTCAGAGCTTCTGCCAGGCAATATGACGCCTTTGTGAAAATTGGAAAAAGGTGCCCTTCCTGTGGATGTCCGCAACCTTGCCCCAGCACACCCTTAGCGAGGGAAGCAGGGATGGGATGCTAGTCCCATGCACCCTTAGCTGGATGCCACTGATTGGGGCTCAATGAGCACGACCCTGGCAGTGGCCCATGTCAAAGGCCTACCCGGGGCACCTGTCATATGGGGCAGGATGGTTGTACACTGCTGTGCTTGCCTGTCCTCACTACAGTGTTCACATTCCACATTTGAAATTTATTTTAATCCCATGGAAACTGGTGTGAAGTTTATCTTTGCACTATTATTCTAGACCGTCTCCAGTCTAATCCAGCCCAATCTGACCCACATGGCACATCTGCCAAAAGATAAGGACTGAACAGAAGAGGCTAAGATAAAGTTCCTGTTCTCTAGGAGGTTTCAGTCCAGCAGGAAAGGTCACACACTGTCCTGGGTGAGGACAAGCCTGGCTGGCATGAGGGAGAGGAAAACCAGCTGTGAGGGAGAGAGCCATCCCCCATTGTTATGCGGCAAAGGCTGCAGGGCAGATGCAGAGAATCCAGAGGTGGAACTGGGGGGTGTGGGGGTGAGATTGGGGCAGAGACGTGAAGCAGAGCGAGCGTCCTCACCAAGACACGGAAACCAGAAAATGTCAGATGTATTTGGACCACGGGGGAGTCACCTCACTTGGCTGGAGCCTGAAAGGATATTGATTTTCAGGGCGGGGAGGACTGAGGCTGAAGTGGAAAGATCTAGAACGTCTTCCCAGGGAGTCTGGGCTGAATTTCTGAGGTGACCGCAGACCACTGAAGCTTCTGAGTCTTTCCACAGTGTGAACATTCACTCACTGGAGGGGACAAACGGTTATCAGGAGTAACAGGAAGAAGCTTTTATGTTCAATAAGCTGCAATGGTAATTATAACTGGTGTTTTCTTTCTTAATATGTACCTTGTGAGGCCACTCTTAGGAACTGTTAGGGCTTCAAATTATTCTGTGCATTTCACAGAACCACAAGACTTCATGGCATAAGGAAGCAAACGTTGCAGAAGCATTTACAGCAGCGGTTACGCTGGGGGCGATATTGCCCCCGAGGGTTACATTTGCCGATGTCTGGACACATTTTTGGTTGTCTCAATGTGCTGGAGGAAGGGGGGGGGGCTGCTATTGGCATCTAGTGTGTAGAGGTGAGGAATGCTGCTAAACATCCTTAGATACATAGGAGAGTAAAACAGAATTATCTAGTCCCAAACACCAATAGTGCCAAGGCTGAAAAACGCTGATTTCCATGGTGGTCTCCTGGGAAGGAGACAGGCTCCAAGGTCAGACCTGAATATACTTTCCAGCTCTACCAATTACCAGCTGTGTAAACTTAGGCAACGACCAACTGTTTCCAGCTTCAGAAGCCCAGTTTAAAAAACAAGGCATAAAATACCAAACTCAGAGGCTTTTTTAAAAGGGGCAGAGGGAGGGAATCTTTCAAGCAAACTCTCCACTGACCGTGGAGCCCCACGCGGGGTTGGATCCCATGATTGATCCCACAACCCTGAGATCATGATCTGATCATGACCAAGAGTCAGACGCTTAACCGACTGAGCCACCCAGGTGCCCCGCACCAAACTCAGAGTTTTGAAGATAAAAATAAAATAATGTATTTAAGATGCCAAGCCCTATGCTGAGAATGTCAATTCCCTTATTAATTGGGATAAATAAAGTCTTAATAGTATTTCAGGGTGAATATGAACTGCCTTTATGGATGTGAACAGACGGTATTACTGCATTTAGATTGTTATCTGTATGGGAATTATATACATCCAAAAATTCTCCCAGAAGGATTTTACCCATGGGAGGCAAGTAAGAAATACAGCTGACCAAATTATATCCTTTCAAAATATCCCCATTTGCTGGAGTAACAGCTGGCTCTGAAACAATATGGTTGTGAAGACTTGGTTGGTTTTTCAGAAAAGTTCTTGAGAATGACATTTGTGCTCTAACTTTTTAAAATGGAACCTTGCAGTACTTTCCACAGGGCAACTGGGTGACAATATAATCAACTACTTGCCCTTTGATCTCCCAATGAGATCAGTGAAAAATGTCTCTAATCTGACCACTCTAGGAAATGCAAAGCCTCCAGCTTCTAAAGATGGCTCTTCAAAGAGAACTGAGCTACAAAATGCCAGTAATTCTCCTTTATTGGGAGATAAAAGGATTATTTCCACCCAGGCCTTGGTGCTGAGCTGGAGCAAAAAGCAGTTAAATCCAGCCATCCTTGCGAATTAATAGCTGGGGTGGCCTTGAGGCAGCAGGTCCATTAGATTTGGGACTGGAAGCAGCATGCTGCCTTAGGCAGTCTTAATTCACGGATGCATCCCTAGTGGGGGCCCACACTGTCCATTTAGTCTCCAAGGGGCCAGTTCCTGCTCCTTACCTTGCCACACTTCATGCCCCTTGCTAAGCCACTGGGAATCCATTGTTTTTGTGAACTGAGTGCCTGAAGGGGAGCAATTGGTGTCCTGGGATTTTTAAATGAGACAGAATTTATTCCTGGTTGGGAGGGGACTATGTCATCTCTGGGCTTATAATGAGGGCAGGTGATTTGTTTGTAACAAGGAAATCTACCTGGGGATGTCTTAAAATAAATATTTTTTCATATGTTGGGAAGTGTATGTACTTCGGGCTGATTTTAAAAATTTAAAATGCCTGAATTGTAAAATTTTTAAAATTTGAAATTAATTTTTGATTTCCGATCATTGATAGATTGTTTATCTACAAATGTAACCTCAGCGTTAAATATTTCTAGTGCATTAGGTCTCATCTGCTTAGCTGTGGGATTTTGACCACTACCTTCCCTTGGGGTTTTTTTGACCCTCTAACAAACCAGAGGTCATAGCTAGATATGAGGAGGTATGACCTAACTCACCTACCTCACAGCTTTTTCTGTTCCTCAGCTCCTCAGCTCAGGTAGAACCAGGAAGCCTGGCAGACCTAAAATAACTGTGGCAGAGACAGGTGAGCTGTCCACCAAGCCTTTTCTTTTCAGCAGCGTGTAGTCATATGACTAAGCTCTACCTATGGGAATATGGGAAGAGTCCACAGACACTATTCTCAGGCCTGGCTCAGATAAACCACCTGACTAATCCTCCTCTCTCTTTTCCTCCCACCCCTGACTGTTGGATGTTGATGCTGAGAGTATCTTAGAGCCATCTGTTAAGTGCAGCAGAATCTTCATCCGCTTGAGTTTCTGAATGACTGTGTGGAGCAGGGCCCTTCCCTTTGACTTTTACTGTCGATTGGACTTTAAACAAGAAACAAAGTTCTACTTTGTTAAGGCTTCTGTATTTGGGGGTTTCTTTGATATAGCAGCTAGTGTTTCCTTAACTGAAGCAGAAGTTGGTATCTCATATGCAATACTATCATAACAAAAATCAAAAACGTGGCAATGGCCTGTGGGCTAGCAGCAGGTGGCAAGGAAACTGATATTGGAAGCTGGGACACTAGAGATCCATTTCATAGAACCATCTACATACGATGCCTGGGAAGTCAAATTGTGTGCTTACTACCGAGCCTGGAGCCCATAAGACAAGCCTGGTTTAGCAGTCAGGGCTCTCCAGAAAATGGAACCAAAAGGAAATACATAGAGATATACATAAAAGAAAATGTATTATAGGAATTAGCTCACAAAATTATGGAAGCTGAGAAGTCCCACAATTTGCTGTCTTTAAGCTGGAGAACTAGGAAAGCTGGTGGTATAATTAAGTCCAAGTACAAATCATGAGAACCAAGGAAGATGTTTGTGTAAGTCTGAGCACAATGGCTGGAGACTCGGGCAGTCAATGGTGTAAATCCTGGTCCTAGCCCAAGGCCCCAGGAACGCGAGTGCTGATGTCTAAGGGCAGGAGAAGATGGATGTCCCAGCTCAAGCAAATTTACCCTTCCTTTGTCTTTTTGTTCTATTCAGGCCTTCAACAGATTGGATGATGCCTACCACACTGGTGAGAACATCTTTACTTAGTCTACCGATTCAAACGCTTCTAGAAATGCCTTTCAGATACCCAGAAATAGTGTTTTGCCAGCTATCTGGGCATCCCTTAGCCCATTTAAGTTGACACATAAAATTAACCATCACAGTTGGTAAATAGAGAGTTAATAGTGTATGTT